AGTGGACGACATGACATTACCCTTCTTCTTTCTGTATTTTCAACCTGAACAGCACCATTTGTGGTACACAATAGCTGTCACAATCTCAAGAGGCAAAAGATATGTTGGTAACATTGAGTGATATTTGTACTCACTTCAACAGAAAAAGAAATTCAAGTTAATCTTTGAATTCTTATTGAAAGGTTGAAAATAGTGTTGTTGAAGAACCTACTTCAACAAGTCTCAGCAAAAAGAAAGACATGTCTAAACACAACAGTGCTGATGAAAAGAATGAGGTATTTTTACACGCAAATGTAGAGAGCATTTTGCAAGGAGGTGCATCACAATCCTACTGGTGGAGAGTTTTGCACAATTTCAAGTGATTCACATGAATCATAGGAGGGGGTTTTCAGAAGGCTGGTGGTCTCCCATATGGGTCACAGGTGAAAGGCCATGTCATCTCATTTGTTGACTCACATTCAAAATTTTATTGAACTACTATTACATGAATTTATGTCAATACGTTTGGTATCAAACTGTAGGTTATAATTCAAATTTTAGAACTATATATTACTCATTTGTTAATTTAAAAGTGAATATTAAAAACACAGATAAACATCGATTTTTGTGTCATGTGATATATTGAATGCAAAACTGGTTCAAATTAGATGTTCGTGAAGTCAAAATACTAAGTCTATAGTTTTATATGAATTAGAAACTCAAATTACAGATATTGACAAGCTAGAATATAAAATAAGAAGGTCTTATCTTTTCTATTTGCTAAGATATTGCTCACATAATAAATCCAAAGCCATTTTTGGAAACACTCCCTTATAAACACTTACTTCTATATACGACATGAATAACCAAACAGAAGCTCAGAATGTCCCTCTAGTGGTTTTTTAAGACTTTCTAACGTACCTAGCATCATTTCTTTCTTTAAAATCAAGATTTCAATGAGGTAGGTTGTGTCTTTAGTCTGCTCGAAATTTCATATTTTTTTTAGACCTAAATACAGCTTAGTTACTATGTTTGATAAATTATAGTAGAATTCTATGGTATTTATGTAGTAATTTACGATTTTGCAGTTATTCAAAAGTATATATAAAACCTAAGAAAAATATTTTGCTACATGTCCTCCATGTTCAAAATTTTTAAAGGCTTAGCAACCTGCATTAAGCAGCAACTGAGTACAAAGGTGGTAACTATAAGAGATAATCGTTTGCTTTACTTCTTTAGTTACTGTTCTATATTTTTAGAAAAATATGTTTAAGAACTTATTTCAAAATAGCAATAATCTATATACATATATAATATATATTATTTGAAATGTGACAGTATTTTACAAAGTACTAGTCTACTACAACACAGCCAAGAAAAGTTACTTTGTACAGACCAAAGGTCACCTTTATGTTATTTGATACGGCAACATGAGTGCACGTGAGTCGCATCATTGTAACTTCTGTATTGTTAGCCAGGAACGACTGACAGGTCAATATAATAAAAAGAATAAATATATATAAATATATAATGTTATGAGATTTAAGCTATTTAGTCAAACATTTATGTTTTTCTGTTATAATTTGTGTTCATTCTGGAATGAAAGATGCATAATTTATGTTTATTTCCTAATTTTTTATGGTGGTTGCAAGATAGGTCAAATTTACCGAACCCGTACAGAGATTAATTACTGAAAATAACAGATAAAATATATAATTTTTTCTTGAGAAACATTTCATAACAATTTGGACATTGTAAAGATTTTACATGTAAAATTTCGAAATTGTTTGATGCATAAAAGTATTTTCAATGTTAATATGAAAATTACTTTGCATGATAGATAGACAAGATGTGAAAAGAAAAAAAAGGCACAAGAGAAACATTGCTTTACAATCCTTAAAACTTAATAAAAAAAATAGATATGTTGCATATGAAAGCATTGTAATGTTTACTGATAAACTGCCAAATTTCGTTAACATTCGCTTACTAATTTAAAAGTTATAGCATGAAACTACAACAAGCACAAAATGATTATGAGGTCGGCCCCACGGACCAAGCCCAAGTTGAAATAGTTAACACAATTTCAAGAGGAAAATAGCTATCTGTGTATGAAGGTGAGTGATCATACCATAATTCTGATTTTTTGTCTACAAAAGACTTGTAATGTTTACTGAAAGCTTGCCAAATTTCATGAACACATATTAAGTGCTTTCAGAGTTATAGAATGTATATCTTCATGGTTACCAATTACTTAGATGGGTTACTAGGTCATGTGAAATACAAGATCCCATTGCAAAAGAGTTATGGCTCTCATGTAATAGGAACATTACATATAGAAATACAAAATTACATGTGTATATTGCTAATATAACACACTTTAAATGTACACATTACAAAACAGCTGACAAAATTTATATATGATAACTAGTGGAATTCATATATACATAAAGAAAGTAGGTTTTAGATTATTTGTTACAAACTATGTAGAAGCAATTTATCATCAGCTCATTGTTACAATGGACTTAAAGTGTGTGTTAGAAAAGCTGCTTGTTGAAGAGATTTTTTATTAGAAAAATTATCAAAAATGTGGTACACAAAAAAACATTAGGACCAAAGCTTATAATAAATGGATGGAGTCCATACCATTAATCTCAGAGTATGGCTTCCTATTTCATATTTTCAATTTCATTGAAATAAGTAATAATAAAGTTATTTTATAAAATTTTGAAAAATAACTCTCTAAATGATAATGACATGTGCTCGTTAACCAGCTTGTAGCAAAAGGGTTAATAATACATTTAAATATAAATTATAGCCTTTTAACCCTATCGCCCCGGGTACCCTTTACTGCACATGACACAAGGTTTTAGTGTCTTACATTAAAAATTTTATTAAACTACTTTTTGTTTATGTT